AAAATGAACATACTTTAGTACTCTTATTCTACCATCAGTTAGCAGGCACTAATAGTTAGGAGACAGTGTTTTGCAATAGTAGAAGCGCATACATGGAATAATGCTTCCAAACTAAAACAGAAGTTACATACATAAAGTCTGACATTCCCTAAACACAGTTAACTGTAACACTCAGGACATACTGTCTCACAAACATGGGTCTTTGCAGACAATCTGTAGTATAAATTTAGTCAGCTGGTATCAGTGAAAGTTACTACCTCCAAAAGAAGCTGAAGTAAGTTACATCAATGAACAGTGATATTATTTTGTTTTAAGATTCGTATTTGTCAGCCTGCCCTGTGCACCAAGCCTCATAGAATACAACTGTCCAGGACCGAACTTTTAAGAAAAAGCTGTTTCTAAGATACAAATGGCAAGATTAGACCACTTTACTGTTACATAAAAAAAAGGCATTACTTCAGTACTCTGAAATAATTTGTCAGATTTACTCCATGCTGTCTTCAAGAACTTAGTTTTCAGCTTCAATTTAAGCAAGTGAAAAATCATGTCAAAGAGCATCTGAAAAGTGTATTTGTGGAAGTTAAAACTGCTTTACAAGGAAAATATCTCTCAATCAAAACTACACAATCCTTCCCATAAGTCACATATTTGACTATTAATGGAATACAGTTAACCCACTAAACCAAAAGCCAGTATCAAAACACCATAAAGTTCCTTAAATGAGAAAGATGTGACTCCAGTTCCAAACATACTAACATATTTATTACATGTCTTTTTTCCTCAAATGAGATGGAACATGTACTAAACATTGAGCTGTAACACTTAGTTACTTAAACATGCTTTCCAGTTGGGGAACAAAGTATGTTTATAGCACATTTTGAGGAAGCCTGTGCTCATTACTACCACTGTACACAGCACAGGCATAAAACAAGACCTACTCCCAGTGTCTCAGTTTTTTAAAAGACACTATACTCTCAATCTGAATCTGAAAAAACAACCAAATCTACTTTTCAACAGGGCACATTGCATCATCCATCAGGAGGATTCCCATTGCTACACCCTTCATTGTATCTTACATGTGACCAAGCAAGATTTGAAAACACATCTTAAGTTATAATTTTTTAAGAAGAATGACACTCATACTCGTTTACCTGAGACTCCACAGTGACTGTGATCATAGAGGTGTTGCTGGTGCATGGTAGATTTTTTGTATATAACATGAGGATGACCATTCTCATAATTAAAGTTACTAGAATCTTCCGTTATATTCCTTAAAGGTTCAATAAAATACTCTTCATCTTCTGTAGCAATGACTCCATGCTTAAAGAAGAAAATAGGAAAACAAAAACTTGCAGAAGACAACAAAAAAACCCTATTAAAAAGCTTAACTTTAAAAAACATTTGACTATGACCATCTGTTTTTCTGAAGAAATCCACAACGATAAGCCAAAACAGGAAACAATGCATAAGCCAGCTCTCCTCCACTGATTTTAGTGGTACCAGTAGTAAGCGCCTATAAGCAACACAGTGAGAAAAGAATAAAAAAATCATAGCCCTATTTCTGGAGTTCTTTCCCACCATTTTTGGTGGGTGTGGTAAGAAAGCAAGAGATGTTCTTGGTGTATGATAAATAATCTCTTCACAGAGATGTTCCAAAAATACATGATTCATATCCATTAAAAGTGATGCCAAGCCAAAATGGCCTTACTCAAATGGTGAGACCAATATTCCTCTATGATGCCACACCTCTAGATGCTTAAAGCCGCATACTGCACCAAAGAAAAACAGCATGAAGAATTAATTTTACAGCTTATATTCAGGGAAATCATTCAGCATTTTACATCCAGATGCTTAATTCCACAACTGAGCTAGCTATTAAAATAAAATTATTATTAACTTGGGATAAACTATCTACAGAGTATTTATTCCTTAAAAGGTCTTGCCATAAATCTAGCAAATCCAAGTTGTTGCAGACTGCATTAGACCACATTCTCCATAACAAATGAACATTTTTTTCCTCATACTGCAATACAGAACAGTAGATATTCTATTCTCATAACTTTCACATTTGTGAATTCAGCTTCTTCCAAACAGGAAGTGGTTTATGGAAGAAAAGGGAGATTTCAGGCCAACTATGCAATTTCCTGAACCTTCAGCAATTAAAACCAAACTTTAGCTCAAAACCCAGTTTGGGGATCCTTTCAGATACAGAAATATTGGGGAATAAGCCCTGACAGACTCCTACACCTGTATTCACTAAATAAAAAATTCTGGTATCCATATCTAGAAAATTTTGAATGTATGAACTTTTTACACTGGCAGAAAGAGCTACTCATCAGGTAGGAGACTGGAAGCAGGAACTTCTGCATTCATATCCTGATTTGATGAATCACAAATTTCTACACACCTTTGATTTTTAAAGCAAGTACTATGCATAAGCCTTTTTTAAAGGGGTTATTTTTTCCCTTTGATGAGACTTCTATGATTGATCAGCCATAAGACCACTTGCTCCACATCTGCTCTAAAAATCTTAAAGCTGTTTCTAAGATCAGGGCTTGCCATTGTACTCCCGGTCAAAGCTCTCGTCCTGCTGCTGGTTTGTACATCAAACGCCTGCTGTTCTTCACTCCTGGAATAACCGGATCTCAGTAACAATATAGAACTTACACAATAAAAAATCCTGTGTAATACATCAGAAAGAACAGTGTTTTCCAAGTATAACCCTATTATAAATTTTGGAAATATATGTACAAACATACTGCAGCTTTCAATTACCAGTCCTTACATAGAGACTGTAATAGTAAGCGTTCCTCTTCAGTGGCATTTTTCATTATGAACTCAGTTATTTACTCAAGGAAGTAACATCAGGGTCTACATTCACCTAGAAGATGCTGGCATCAAATTCTTCTCACAATGCCTTCTTGTTACTTGGAGTCTAAGATTTTTCTAGAAAATAAATCACTTACTGGTACACTGCTGCTTAAATAGCATTGAAAATATAAACCGAATTGTACTGGGTTTGCCAGATGTGCAGAAAAAACCTTGACAGTCTGGACTGCATCCAGTCTGGATGTCAGACATCTGGGTTCAAGCAAATCCTGAGCCATTATAAGCTCTGGTATTATGTTCCCACAGGAAAAGAGTCCTGCAGAGTGGTTCTGGGCAACACCATCAGGCTGTCCGCCTCATGCCATGCCTGAGGAGACAAGAGGTACCATCCAACCTTTAGCTCTGTCTCTGCAACAGAGCTGGTCTTAACCTAAATCTGATGAGTACAGACATGAAGGATGTATGCTCTGGAGTAAAGTCCAGCCAGGGTAACAAGTCTAAGCATGAATGAGACATTTTTATCAGATACTGAAACTGATAGATTAAGCAGTGAGATGACCTCAGCAGGAGTGAGTCAATTCAGATGCCATAAACACTCAATTGCAGCATTAGTTCTCTACAGAAATTGCGTATCTGCAGGAGCAAATATGCGAAAACTATTATGAATGTCTGAAAACTGTGACTGCGGTTCCTTCAGGTACCAGCAGTGAAAAAGGTTAGGAGAGTATTGCTATTTTTTCCCAAGCCTAGCTGACATATGATCTCATTTGCCTGAACACTATGAAGGTTTAAGAAAAGAGAGATTTTAAAAACATTTAGCTGAGGAACTCCAAATAAATTTTAACTTACACGTACCACCAGGTAGTCAGAACATGTATGCAGTCAGATGCCACAGCTAGCCAACTGATTTGATAAACATTGAAATGTAATTGCCCTGCAAATGCCCGGCATAAGCCCAGCATATGTATATCATTTTAAACCTAACATTAATTTTGCTTGCAAACAAAACTGTTCTTCAAACATTAAACTGATGCAAGCAGTCTGACTGAATCACAGTGACTGATTTTTAAGAAGCACTCTAAATTCTGTACTTAAAAAGCACCTGTATCAGTGACAACCAGCATTTATTCTGAGTTTAGAATGTGGCCACTCATGTGGCTAGAGACACTTCCACTGTACATGCATTTAGCAATGTCTGATTAATAAATAATGGGAATTATGCTATTATACCTAAACAAACATTCTAAACTCCGGGCTTTGCTTATAATCCGCTATTTGAGTAAAACACAATTTCAGTTGAAAAAGGAGATTGAAATGATGCCCTTTTAAAGAACCAAAGTTAATTTTTTTTTTAGTTTTGCTGTTGTATTTGAACAGTTTGTAAATTAAACTTCTGCGCCAAAGCATAAGAAATATCATTAAGGCATAAAAATGACGAGCAAAAGGTTTTGACAAAATACCATGAATGTAAGAAACAAGCTGAATGCCCCAAGTAGGTTACTACAAGCAACATTCCCAAGATTATTATCTAAAACAGACTGTTTGAGGTCCTGTGTTATCCAATCCCACTACAGACTGCCAACTCCTGCTAACATATATAAGGGCTGAATCCAGCAGTCTGACATGCTCAGACAAATCTGTGAATCCACATGGAGTTCCCCTGAATTTGTGAAAAGGAATCTTTTTTTGTCAGGCTGTCCAGCTGGGACATTAACCTCCTTCAGCTGGGGGATGTCTATCTGTCACAGAAGCAAACTGAATTATGGAGGACAAGTAAGTGTGTGCCTTTTCCACACAATATTACTGTTTTACAATTTCTCCATCCCTTGAACCTTTCTAGACTTTGTGCTTTATACATGTATACAATATCAAGTAGTAGTAGTGGAAACTTCTGAAAACATGCCAGTGTTGTTCAGTATGTCTATAGCTGGGTATATACTTCGGTGTTGTTTTATGACTGAGGAAAAAGACTGTGTTAGCTTACTGTGTTCTTAAGGATGAAAAAATACAGTGATATGGCCTGAGACAGTAAATCATGAAATCTAACAAGTCACTTTAAAACTAGGACAAGGGCAGCTTATGTATTTTTTTCTGAATACTAGTATCTATACAGCAAATACATTACAGTACCAAAGAGAACTCCAAAGACGCTGATCTAGAACACAAAATCCTTTTCACTGTCATTTCTGATCTTAATAAATTATTTTATAAATCAGACATTAATTTACATACAATTCAAAAGTACTATTCCTTATAGTAGAATCAGCTGTCAAATGAACTACTTTAAGAAGAATTTGAATAATTTATACATACATTAATTTAGGAATACATGAAGCAAACACAAGATCTTCCAGCAAAATAATTCCTACTTTAACCAAGTAAGGTCATGCTTTTAGCCTCAGCCTACTTCTTGTGCCTTCTTTATCATTTCTGTTTGGATGGAGACATCTGTGCTACACAGCACAAATGTTACTCAGTGCATGGAACTTCACATGCCATGGAAATACTTGGCCTTTTGCATTAAACATTTCCTTGGAACCACAGTAGCCTCAAAATGTGATTTAACCTCTTATTCACTTTCCTAATACAAATAATCACTTTCCACACATTTTAAAGTATTTCCCACTACTGGGCTTTTCAGCTCAAAATGAGAAAATCCGCTACTGTGGAAAACTTGTTTGAGCACACAGTTAAAAACTTGACAGCTGGCAGAGAACAGAGCTGGGTCAGAACACAGGAAGTTTCATTTCTGCTCAATTCCACTACTATGAGCTCCATAACTTTTCTTCTTTAAGACTTGCTCCCCTCAGAATTAGACAAACTTCTTTCCCTTGAGGTGAAGTTCTTCTCTCTTCAGCCAGTCTACCACTGTTTCTTCTCTTTACTTTAGCATGACATACTCAGCTTAGGCAATGCTTGCACCCAACATCCCTTGTTGCCTTGCACCCAGCATCCAAAAGCCCCAAAATGGTGCTTGTTGCAGGCTTTCATGAGAAGGCCAAACCTGCAATCCACCCACAAATGTAACATCCACTAAAGTAAATATGAGTTTGGAAGCCAGCAAGCCTGCCGGACAAGACCTTCAATTTCCTCACATGACTGCTCACTGGATTATAGAGCTTTCCTCATAACTTCAGACAATTTATAGCATAATCAGGGCCCAGCAGATGGAAACTGCTGGAATGAAACTTCAGAAAGTAGCAGCCTGTAATTCTGGGGCACTTGGTAATGAGAAATATAGAAGGAGAGGCTGAAACAGAAACAGTGACAGGAAAACAAACTGACTGATCATCACTTTATTATAATGAAACCCGAGAGAAAGCCCTCCTTGCTCTACGACTCGTCTTGGATACTACAAGAGTTCTTCAAAGTTGCACAACTTATGTCAGTTAGATCATGGTCTCACCTGACCACCCTCAATAATTAAACAGAGTAACTTAAAACATTCACTAACGGAAAGAAATTTGATTCATTTCAAATTTCTGAAATGAGAAATAAAACCTCACAAGACTACTGGAACAAACTGAATGCTTAAATTTTGTTTGTTAGCAACACTCACTGTTAAAGATTACTGCTTATTTTAGGGCTAAACTTCAAATGACTGGCTTTGAGGCAGATGTTAATCAAGGACTGTGCAGAATGTGACTGTCAGTCTCTTACAGACCAACAATCAGACTGGAAAATACAATGAATGCCTTAAACACAACATATTCTGAACTATCACTAACTCTAAAACAAGTAATACTATCTTCTGTATTCACTGCCAATTGCTTTATTAAACATGTTCTAACCAGCAGCTGTATAACAAAGTATCTGTCAGTAGGAATCATGGTTTAAAAATCTGTGATGGATTTAACTGAATGAAGTGGTAACTCCCATACTCAGTGTTTTGGAAGGCCCTGCCAACACTGGAAGACAGAGGAGTTTCTGTATCGTAGAGGATGATACTGAGTCGAGCCTCCCACTGCACCCCTCTTCAGGATTCCTTCATCCTTGCTGCTTCGGGAGTGTTACAGGAGCCTCACATGCTTGCAGCCAGGCCTTTCTAGGAGATGCAGTGGACACCTGACACTTGCAGTCCCAAGTAAGAGGCATGACCATGAAGAACTCCAGTCGTGGTGTGCCCAGAGACTGGATTAAGGCTGCTTTAATACCTGGAAGAGCCAATGACAACTAAAAGCACTAATAATGACGATTTAACTGGGAAGCACTCCACACTGAAATTAACTTACAAACACTAAGTTAACATCCTGATGCCTAGAACCACAGAACAACAGGCAGCTTCACTCCAGCAAAACAGCAAGGCTGAAGGCAGAGGGAAAACATGCAGCAATGGGAATGCTGAATGTCAGCTCAGGGTGTGAGACACAGGAGCAAAATAAGTTTCTGCTTCACCATGACACCTTCCATGCTGCTAAATTCTTTGAAGGAGTACCGTGAGGAGCAAGAGGTAGGCAAAGCTGATGTGAAAACATGGACTTTTTCCCGCTTCACCTCACTCTTGTTTTCCTAAGATGAAAGGAAAACACAAGTAGGCTAAAGCAAGAGCAGGCGTTCCTGGCTGGCTCCCTGGCCAAGGCCAGAGAGGAACTGAAATGGGAGCACCATGGCACTGACGGCAGGCTCCAAGCGGCCAACCAGCCTGCACCTCAACTGGCAGAGACTCCAGAGACAGAGGCATGCAGCCTCTTTCAAAGAAGTGAGGCCTGAAAGAGGGGATTTGGTCTCCTCAGTGGTTTTACCTGAAAAGAACTCAAAAGCAAAACGATTGAGTATATGAGTTTAAAAGCTTAAATAACTGTGACAAACAAGTTATTATACAGGAACTGCAAAACCAATGTGAAAATTGTACTAAATTCAGACCCATCCTCTACAAGGCTGCATTAACCAAACTGTGATACCACAGTCAATGGAACACCATTTTAACTACAATTCTTTGGAAGTGTTCACCTAGCCCTGGAAATCGCCGTTTATTCTTTTTCCTCAAGAGTACTCCAAAATGTTAACCTGGACTCTGTTAGGGATATTACAAGTAGATGGGTGTAATGCAACCTACCTAGGTCTGAAGCAGCTGGCTTTTGTTTGTAAATAACATCCCGAGATGCATTACTCAATAGCACTTCCAAGAATAAATGGGAATTAGTTTAGCAAGTCTGTGTAATCTTTTTTCTTCCTTAGCAATTAGTTAGGTCTGTCTATTCCTAACAAGAAGAGTGACCAGTGTTTTACTATAATTAAAACCAGAATGAATAACTGTAACATATACATATATTTTTACCAGAGAAATTACCAGCTCTTGATTTAGTATTTCCTAGTCATGCCCTTTGTTTTAGTATTTTGTTACTCAATAGTTGCTTTCTAATTCCTGTTGGAAATGAAAAAGCTTTTTCCCATGCAAGTACTACCATCATGTGATCAAGAGCTCAACAGTAAAAGAAGAGATGAGAACAAAAGAGATGTGAAATTCTAATCCTACTTTTAAATGCAAGTGTTTACAATCTGTAAACAAAATTTAAAAAGGTAAATAATTACTTTCTGATGCTTCTACTTGCAAAGGATCTACTTTCCTCTTCACTCTTTGAATTTATAGCAATGAGGACTTCTACACCAAGCAATTCCTCTTCTGTGTTATTTACTCAAAGTTTCTAAGGCGAAATTGTCAAAGACAACAAGTGGTTGTTCAGTTCAATCAATGTGTCTCTGGAAAGATTCTGAATCCTAACGAATCTACTGTTTGCTCCTTCTCCACCCTTGAGCTTGCAACATTTTTGTAACCTGTACAGATCTCAGCACAGACCTAATTTTGCAGCCCTAGTGCAGACACTGTAAACACTGAAAATGTTGCCTGCTAAAGGACTACAGAATTAGGTCTTACTACTTACAATTAAGCTTGAAAACTGAGGACTACTTTTCCCCAGGACCCAGACAAGGTCTTAGGGGTTTTCTGCACCTTCCTGTCTGCTTGCTTCCCACAGGGACTCAAAAAAATGAAAGATATGCCAATTAAGTTGTTCTTCTGTAATTTAAAAGGGACAAGCACGCTATTATACTAGAACGTGTAACATGCACTTACCAGACCATTGCAGTTGCTCAAGGCCACTTTAGTTGTACTGTGCTGGTCTTGCAAATATCCTGTGTAATGACAGTGGTCTAAAAAATCATGCTTCCATTGTGGTCCGTCTTTCCCCCAGTATTCTACTGTAAAATGTCTGGACACCAAATCTGTGTTGAGAGTCAGGTTTAAATGAAAGTGCTTGCCATAGGCAGAAAGTTTAAAAAATAATTTAGATGCTGCCACTTCTTGGTCATAAGGGTCTGTGCTCCTCCTCCTTCTTGAAGGTTTAGCATTTTTCACAGTAAAGCTGAGGAAGGCTCCATTTTGATCAACCCTTATTGGGATTGTTAGTTGGTAGTGTTCAAGGTAAGACAGGAATTCCTCTTTGTAATCACAAGGTAAGACAGTCCAGGGAGTGGGCATAGAAGAGAAGAAAATATAACAGGAAACAACAAGTAGTAGTATAAACATAAACCATCCTTGGCTAAATCTCATCACCCTCTTGAGCAAAGGTAATTTTCAGGTAAACGCAAAATGTAGCGTTTTACTGAATAAAAGAAAACATTATTGTCTTTCTTTTTAAGTCAAGAAAATGTGTTCGGTTTCCTATTAATTTGATGTCACTGGAAAAACAAAAATTTTTAACTACATCTTTTCCTATTTACCCAAAATACATAAATACTTGGGGCTAAATTCTAACCTAAGAAGAACACGTTCTTCCCAGTGACACTATTCAAAGGCAAAAGCTATTAGATCCACCTGCAAGAATAAAAGCAGTAGAAATTATATGTATTATATTGTAAAAACATATAAAAAACTTGTCATTTCATTAAAAACCTATAAATGTTAATGGATCAAAGTAGGATTAGATCTTTACTTCCTAGTCTAAAAACAAGTTAATGCTGTTATGGCAAGTGTCTAAACGATTATCAAGTACAACATTTTAATAAATTTAATTTGCAAGGCTTTCCTACACTTAAAAGTAGTCAGAAAGAAATTAAAACACTCACTCAGATTTGCTGTATTTAAACTTCCATGACAATGAATCATGATAAAACTAAGAGCAGACCCCATATGATCTCATGAATTACATAAATGTGGTTTAGAAAAATATTACCCAAATGCAATGTAAAAATAGATGCTTCTTGTCAGCTACAGAGGTCAGACCCCTACCTTGAGAACTATATGAAAGCCTGTTGTCACTGTGAAATTCCGATGAAACCATGACTAGGCTCAAAATCCATGTCCACGTCTTCCAAAAAATTTCCATAATTTAGAAAAACAGAAAGGTCTTTTCTTTTTTTTCTCCTTGGAGAGCTACCTGTGTGCTACAGAGTTAACTCCACTCCAGAATCGCACCATAACAGGTGTATTTATTTTATACTACTTCCAAATTAACTATTGGATGTTCCACTTTTTGAAAGGCATTCTTTTCCAACAACCTGTACTTTTTTTCTATATCTGCAGTCATTTTCTCAATTCAAAATAAGTATTTGTAAGATTCCTTAAGATATCAGTAAGACATTAGATTGGACAGTTACTGAACTTGCTCCATTTCTTTTCCTGAAAAACAAAAGAAAACAAGTGAAGGCAAATTCTTTCTACTAAAACAGAACTATACTTCAAAACACTAAGCCATCATAGTGAACTATGCAATGTAACATTTTGAAATAATAATTCAACCATTACCACTTTTATGGTCCAAGGTCACAATCTTACAAAAACCATGAATTACCTTTAACCTTGAACAGCAGACCCATACAGCTTAAGATGCACATGTCGAGGTTATGTTAAATAGGCATAAGGATTCATAAAATTAAGGTTTCTCGTTGCTCAAATACTGTGTTCAGACTTGTTCCAGCTATAATCAATGCTATGCACTCATTGATTTCAGCAGTGAATAACTAGACCCAATACACTGGTAGACAAAGGAAGAACCTGGGAAAGAATCCAGAGCACAGTTATCTGATCTTTCTGCAGCATGTATTTTGTTATTACTTGGGCCTGGGTTTTGCTTATGCAGGCAGAATTCTCATTCACTTAAATGGAAACACTGCACCTTCTAATACAACAAGTAAATTTCAGTATCTGAACCTATTCATCATACACATTCTAATTTTTCAAAGATTTGTTGTCGAAAATGGGGTTTTTCACATTTAAAACACTAACACAGTAATACTGAAAAGCAGCTTTAGCTGCAACCAGGGATTAAATGGAAGATCTATGCAGCCAACTAACAGTTCAGTACCATGGGATACCAAACCATTTGTTGTGTCAGCTGGTACTAATTAGTCTCCTTAAACACACACAGCACACCTGTGCATAGGGCAAACTCTGCTGAGGCAGACAATGGAGAAACAGAACACCTAAGAAGGGAATACTGTTTAAAAACAAGTTTCCATAAGAATACCGAGCGACTTACACATGCACCAGATTAACTTGCCTTTCTAAAATTCTGAGAACGATTTACAGCATTCATTCACAGGCAATACCACTGCAGCCAGTAGGTTATTTGTAAAGGTTAAAAAGGCGTAGCGTATCATCTGAAGAAAAATCAGCATCATGCAAATCCTATTTACTAACATCACAGTCAATATTAGGAAACTTCTTAGTCAATTTACTGTGTAAATTAGGTTAATCTGATCATTCCAATACCTACTTTTTAAGTATCTTTCAAGACAGCACACAGGATTTAATCAGGTTTGTAGAGGGAATAGAAGATACGTTGCAAGCATAGCTTGAAGTTAGCAGTATTTGGGGGCGGGGGGAGAAGAAGCATAAAGATTTAGTGATGCCATTCGCATGCAGCAAGGCCTCAAAGCACATTAATAACATCTCTGGTCTGGCCTTCCATGTAAAACCTTTCCTTCCTAGCTAATACTTAGTTACAGCTTTTTTATTTTTTTTAAACCAGCTTTGAAGAGACACAATTGACCCCATACACTTCAGCTACATTAGTACGCTAAATAACGTGCCTGATTTCTAATCTGAGTACATCCAGTTTCAAATTCCTGTCACTGAATCTTGCTTTACCCCTCCCTGTCTGCTAATGAGCTGCTTTCTTCTCTTTGCATGGATAGTTATAGTCTGATACAAGCACCTCTTGACACTTCCTGATAAGCAGCTCAAGCTATTTGGTTTACCTCACTCTGTACAATCCAGTTTCCAGATGTCTAAATAGTTTTGCAGGTTTTTTTCCAAACTCCTTCCGATTCGCCAACAACCTTTCTCATGCACAGACACCAGAACTGGACACTGTAGTCCAGTAATGGCTTGTTACCGCCATCAATAGAGGCAACATTCCCTCATAGCTTTTACTTAGCCAAAAAAATTTTAACAGGGAGCTCATGTTCAGCCTGTTAGGCTGATAGTAAGTTACCCTAACACTAAGATCTCCTGAAACTGTAGTACCTAAGGAGCCAGGTAGCTCAGAATGCTGGACATAAACTACTGCACCCGTTATTTAGACACCAATGGCCCACATGGTGGGTGGTTGGTCAACAGTGTCCCAACAGTCACCCAAGAGCAGCGTCTTTGCAGGGATCTGCATGAAATGGTCTCCCTCATTCCAAGCTTCACACGAGAAAAATCTCCTTTGACATTAAGATTGCTATAAGTTTCAGCAGAATTTTTAACTGCCTTTCCAAAAGTATTACAACCACCCTGAGCACTGATACAAGCAGGCCACACGTAGCTACATGAACGCTCCGAATTAAGGAGTAGTAGTGGAGGTGAAGGATAGTGCACTCCAGTAACTCCCAATATAGTACTTCCAGCATGAAGTTTGGTAGGAACCTCAAAAGCGTCCACCATCTATTCCCTTTTTCCTCTCCATCTTCCTCAGTAGCATACATTCAGAATTCCACTGTTGATTGCTGTCAAGATGACACATTAGGTCAACACTACACTCAGAATAAGAAGCGCTTCCTCTGGCTCATGGCTGAACCACATGTTCACCTCCCACTAAGGGCAGGTATGGCTCCATGTCCTGAACCAACACCTAAAACCACAGCTTCTGCCTAATCATAAAAGCTCTGCCAAGCAGCAAAGAAAAAGAGCAAGATGTTTCTCGAAATGTAGGATGCTGATGACAAAGCAGGTGCACAGCACTGGCATTTCTGCGGAGGCACTGATGACAAGGCTGGCAGGACCTGTCACTGGTGCCATGACCCTCCCACCCACTGAAACTCCACGAGGAGAAAGAAAGGCCGTAAGCACATACCAGAAGGCTTTGGGGCAGAAAGCGGACCATGAGGAGGCGACTGGCCCAACTGCTCAGACCAGTCACCTTGGGAGCCTCCATCTAAGCAAAGGCGCTTCGGGCAACTACGGCGTCCCTTAAACCGAAGGTAGCTGAAGTTTTAGGGCAGGCACGCTGCCAAGAGACCGC